CTCTCTCTCTCTCTCTCTCTCTCTCTCTCTCTCTCTCTCTCTCTGTGTAAATATGTGAAAATCAGGGTATAACTTATGGGAGTCTGTATTTTCCTCTTCCATGTGGATTCTAGGAACTGAACTCTGGTTGTTAAAATTGGTGACAAGCCCCTTAACCAGATGACCTGATTAGCTTTCTCACTGCCTTCTTTTGTTTTTGTTCTGTTTTGTTTTGATATTGTTTTCCTTTTAGGCTTCAAATTTCTGTTCTTAACATTTGTTTGTGTGTATTGGTGGGTGGGTGAATGTGAGCCATGGCAATGCTGTGCCATGGAGGTCAGAGGATAACATAGATTCAGGTCTCCCTTTCCACCTTTATATAGGTTCCAGGGACTGGATGTGAGGTAAGTGTCTTTACCTTCAGAGCCATTTTATCATCCCTTTTCCAGGCTGTTTTGGGAAACGTCTCTTACTGTGTAGCCCAGGTTGCCCTCAAACGCATGGTCTCCCTGCCTCCTCAGTATAACATCATACATAGATCAGATATCTTTTTTAAAACTAATTTTTCCATCTGTGATTGAGTTTGGGTATTACATATTTTCTTTTTTTTAATGTATTTTTATTCACTGTGTGTGTGCACATGTGTGTACATGAATGCCAAAGCACATGTGTGGAAGTCAGAGGACAATATGTTGGAGTAGGTTCTCTCCTACCATGTGAGTTCTGGGGCTCCAACTCAGTCACCAGGCTTGGTAGCAAACATCTTTACCTGATGAGCTGTCTTGCAGGCCCTAATTAACATATTCTTATTCTCGAGTTCACAGATCCTTTCCTCTGATTAATTCATTTCCAATGCCATACTGTTATTTTTAGAATTTCCTTTTGGTGCTTTTTATGACTCCTATCTCCTGAAATTTCCTGTTTGTTTATGCATGCTGTCCACCTTTTCTGATCTCTACTTATGGTTAAAGTCCCTTCTGACCACAGCATCAATGCCACTTCTTCAAGTCACTGTCTTCCTCATGTGTCTGGTAATTTTTAACTTTATGCTGTTCGTTGTGGATAAAGACTTGTTGAGACACACGTAAATAGTATCTGTCTAGGAAGGGCAGACTTCCTCCTTGGTCAGAACACTCATGGGACAGGGTGAACCTATTTATTTGAAGTTGAGTCCGGGTTGTGCTGTGACTTTAATGAGGTTTTAGTCACTGTAAATAGACTGCAAGTGAGATCAGAACTAACCCGCAGCAGAACTTCCCTGCAGGGTCTGCGTGTGGATGACAGAGAAGCTCGGGTCTCTCAAGGCTTTACAACTTGGTTTTCTGGGACTCTGGGCATCTTTCTTAGCCCTCTACCCTGTCCTCAGACTTCAGAAAGCTGTGGTGTGTACTCAGAAGAAGCCTTACATCTAAGAGGGACTCTGTGGTGGTTTGAAAGAAAATGGCCCCCAAAGGGAGTGGCACTATCAGGAGGCGTGGCCTTGTTGGAGGAAGCATCACTGTGGGGGGCGGGCTTTGAGGTCTCTTTGGCTGGAGCTTTTCTCAGTGTGACTGTCAGTCGACTTCCTGTTGCTTCTGAGTCAAGATGTGATGACTCTCAGCTCCAGCACCATGCCTGCCTGTATGTTGCCATGTTCCCCTCCGTGATGACAATGGACTGAAACTGAAACTGTAAGGGAGCCACCCACCCCAATTAAATGTTTTCTTTCTAAGAGCTGCCATGGTCAAGGTGTCTTTTTGCAGAAGAAAAACCCAAACTAAGACAGACTCCTTCAAGGACTCTTGCCTGCAGTTACACACATGAGGCCCATATGCTCTGTGAGACCTACAGGAAGGCTGGAAACAGAACGCAGGCCCTACCCTGGCCTGGGAGGGTTCGTCCTTGTCACTCACTCACTGTACATTCCTTGACCTTGCTTCCTCTCTTTTCTCCACAGACATGAAAGCAGCCACAGTCCAGTGCCCAGGGAGGGCTGCAGACTTTCTGGAATTTGGCTCCTTCAGGCTTCTTGGAATCTGTAGGCGTTTGATGAAATTAGAAAAAGAAGCAATGCTACCATGCTTGTCCAGCTGTCCCCCATGCTTCAGTGGGCAGGGCCATTTTCTTGGGCAGACTGTGTTCTGTCAGCCTCCACAGCCTGTGGGGAGGCAGAAGTCCTGCAAGGCTGATTTTAGCAAGCTGGGAGAGACTGGAGAAGAGTGCTTCAGGGCTGGAATTTCCATCTGTCCTCAGTCACGATACCCTCAGCAGTAACGATACTCAGCTCAACTCCCAGAATGTTTGGTGTGAATGAATTTTCACTACAATAAAAATAGATCTGCTATTCTTTAAAACCGAGTGTCCCTCCGCTTTCCAAGGGTAATTACTCATTCTAAAATCCCAACATCTTATAACGTTGCTCCCTGAATTTTAGTCATTTTTTTTATGCCAAGTCACCAATGCACTCAGCTTTTCTGTTTATTTTATTCACTTGAGTTATAGACACAATCTTAATTAGAAAAATTTGAACCAGATATGGTGGTGCATGCCTGTAATTCAAGCACTCCAGAGGCTGGGGTAGGAGGATTGAGTTACACAGCAGGGCACTAATAACAACTTTAAATTCCTTTATTAATATAATGAAACAGAGAAAAATGAATGCAGTGACTTCTTGGAACTCTCTTCTGTGGATGTGTAAGCACTCCAGTGATTAGGGTTTAATGTTTTAATATGTAAAGCCCACATCAGATGAGTTCTTTCTGCTGTGGGAGAGTTGAGGCTATGTGACACTATTTGCAAGTGGCTTGCACTTGTCATACAGTTCTCTGAGCACTCGGATGCAGGCTGTGCCCAGAGTTCACAGTTTGACATGCCATGGACTCCATAGAACGGAGCATGCTCTTGAAGCCCCAGCATTCCCTGTGGCCATAGCCTGGGAGAGCTGCTTTCTTGATGGCAGCATTCATAGGAAGATGCCTTCCTGTGAGTACGCATGGGTTCCAGAGGTAGCTGTGAGCCAGGTACCCGTGAGTCTGTGGACATGTTTGGGCATGTGTGTTCAGATCATGTATGTGAGCATCCCCAAGAACAGGAAGGAATGGAGGGGCTGGAGAGACAGTGCAGCAGTTAAGAGTGCTTGTTGCTCTTGAAGAGGAACTATTTGGTTCCTAGCACTCACTGTTTTTAACTCTAGCTCCAGGGGATCTGATGCCCTCTTTTGGCTTCTGCAGACACCTGCATGCATGTGGCACACACACACTCATGCAGATATACAAACACACACACACATAAATAAAACAAATGAAAAGCTGGGTATGACACACGCCTTTAATCCCAGGGCCCAGGAGATAGAGGCAGGCAGATCTCTGTGAGTTCGAGGCCAAATTTGTCTACATGGCAAGAATGAATTCCAGACCAGGCAGGGCTATCACAGTGAGTTTCAGTTTTAAGAATAAATAACCAGGTGTAGTGGTACACGCCTTTAATCCCTGCACTCTGGAGGCAGAGACAAATGGATCTCTGAGTTCCAGGTCAGCATCGTCTACAGAGTAAGTTCCAGGACAGTCAAGGGTATACAGAGAAAACTTATCTGGAAAAAAACAAAATCAATCAATCAACCAACCAACCAACCAACCAACCAACCAACCAATCAATCAATCACCCAATAAATCAATCTTTAAAAGGGATATTGATGGGGATTTAGCTCAGTTTGGCTCTCAGCTTCAGTTTACAAAGGAACTGAGGGTGCAGAAGTGAGAAGTGGGACTGACCAGTGGCAGGCCTCCTTTTCTGCCACCACGGCCTAGCCTACAATTCCCAGGAGTTCTAGAACACTCCATCCGACCTTGCTTGTGCAACCACTTGGAGGGCATCTATCCAGTGGGAAGTATAGGACATGTTCAGTGCCATCAGCTTGACTACATTGTTCACTAGGCCCCTGGTGTGGGCCTCCATGTCCTGACTGAGCTCTGTATGGCAGACCAGCCTGGCGCAAGAACCCGTGCTCCCCATGACTGTTTCAACACCACCAGCAGAGGACAAGTTGTCAGCAGAGGACAAATTGTCGTCCCCAACCAAAACCTTAGAAAACTTCTCATGTGGCCAGGCGGTGGTGGCGCACGCCTTTAATCCCAGCACTTGAGTTCGAGGCCAGCCTGGTCTACAGAGTGAGTTCCAGAAAGGGCACAGAGCTACACAGAGAAACCCTGTCTCAAAAAACAAAAACAAAAACAAACAACAAACAAACAAAAAGAAAAGTTCTCATGTGTCCAGTGGTTTTGTGTCTGGCAGTTAGTGCATAGTCAGCAGCAGACAGCAAATGATTTTATGTGATTCCTTCCAACCACACAGAAAGCTGTAGCTTAGGTAAACAGTATTGCTCACCCCCCAATTATCTTGCTTTAGTCCAGCAGAGAACTTGTTAATAATCATTTTAGAGGGGGCCATCTTTAGCTTGGACATGTGAACATGGTAGGGAAAGAGGCTGTGCCTAGTGGGAGATCCAGCTCAGTCCTCAGCAGGTGGGGCTGTAATCCTGCCTTCCCTCAGGAGGTATCATCATCTCCATTTCAAAACAGAGATGGCAGTCCCCCTCCAGGGAATGTGTCGGGCAGTGGTATGCCAGCGGGAAAACAGAAGAGGAAGTGAAAGAAATGATCTCTTGGACGGAAACCTGAGTGCAGCCTCAGCTGGGCCTTTAAAGGATTCCGTGCAGCATACTCAAGCCACGAGAGACATTTTGACAACGGAAATCGGCACAGGATGACTGTGAGCCCAGGACAGCAGCACTCAATGCCTTGGGTCTACCAGAAGGTGTCTGTTAGCACGGTGCCACCTTTGGAGGGGAAGGGACATGAGTCAGGGAGAGTGCTGAGTATGGGAGTCCCTGTCCTAGAGGGGCTCTGAGGTCTGGATTCCGTAACACCTTCACTTCTTCTATACACACACACACACACACACACACACACACACACACACACACACAGAGAGAGAGAGAGAGAGAGAGAGAGAGAGAGAGAGAGAGAGAGAGAGAGAGAGGAGGCAGAAAGGGAACCAGCAAAGCTGGGTTTCTCTAGGATTTTGCTATTCAACAAAGAACTGCAGGGGCAGCAAGGAGTTGCTTGGGCCACTCCACCCACCCCAATGTAGGTTATAGCCTGTCATGCCTGGGCTGTGAGGTTAGCTTGTGTGGGGTCCCAGCTCTGCCATTAGCTGTGCATGGGGCACTGGGCAGACTGCTTCTGTCTGACTCAGCTTCCTCATCTGTGAAATGGGGTTAACAGCAGTGCTTAGCTTATAGGCTATAGAGCTCACTAAATGTTCATCATGAAATGACACAACTCTCTGAAGAGAGACAGACACGAGCCTTCTGGTATATATCACCTTCACCTCAAAGTCCCTGTTTTGATTTCACCATTGATACTCAACATTTTACTACAAGTCCTACGCAGAGTATAGAGGAGAAAAGGAAAGACCAAGAAGACACATTTAAATTAGAAAGGAAGCAATCCCATACACAGCAACCTCTAAAAGAGCTCAGCACCTGAGAGTGAACCCACCAAAGAGAGGAGAGCCCCATACGCTAAAATCTATGAAGGACAGTTACCAAAGAATAAATTCACGGAAAGGCATCCCATATTCATGGACAGGAAGACTTGCCACGAGGCTACTGCCACCCAAAGGGAGCTACAGATTCAACACAAGGCAGCTTAGAGAAGCCAAAACTCAAGCTCCACTTACACGAGAATGCAAGGAGCCTCCAGAAGCTGGAACAGCAAGAACTTGCAACATTTAACAACAGAAATATTTGTCCTCCAGACATCTGGAGAGGGAACATTCCAGGGATGCTTTGGCATTTGTCTGACCTCATAGCGTGAGCCTCAGGGAACAAAGAGGGAGCTGACCATCTCTTCCTCTCCTCTTTATTGTTAAACTGTATCTTGTCAGCATTACCAGATGTGACCAAAAGACAACTCAGCTTTCAGTGCTGACCCAGAAGCTGCTCCTTCACCCAGAAGGATACAAATTGTGATCCCAGGGCAATGTCTGGTGCCACAAGAGTTAGAGCATGGCTAACAGGGAGCCTGCGGTGTGAGGCACAGATCTGCCGGTCACTCCTTCCACCTCACCCACAAAATGTATTTACTTATTTTCAGTTTTCTTCCCTTCAGTGGGGCTCCAGCCTATGGTGATGGCTCCACCCACATTCTGGGAGAGTCTTCCTTCTTAGTCCTCCTGGGAATATCTTCACAGACAAGCCCAAGGTGTGTAGAAAAACCTCCTTGGTCTTAATTTAATCAAGCTGTCAGTCAAAATTAACCATGTTGTGTTGTGAATATTTTGTAACAATGTTTTAAATTTTTATTACATATTGACAAATTATAGCTGTGGATACGGGAAATCTTGAGGCCAGGAGATACATTAACCTTGGCACTAATGGTGCATGGCTTTTCACAAAACACTGAGAATCTGGGTGGAAAGTGAGGCCTCAGCTCCAGGACCATGGGTGCTTGTGGCCCCTGTGGTGCAGATCTGCTGTGAGGCTCAAATTCTGCAGTCTCATGGTGTGGGTCCCTTACAGATTTCCACTATATTCCCACTGGAGCCGTACGGGGGAGCGATGGGCCGCCATGCTCAGTGGAGTTCAGCTGAATGCAGTAGCAACTTTGCGCAGGCTTGGTCTTGTATTTTCTGGCCACATCAAACCACTCTCCTGGCAGTGTCTATCTCCCTTCTAGTCTGATGCCGGTAGCTTTGGAGCTGGGGAGGATCCTCGTTGCTGACTCAAGAATGGGAACTGTCAAAGAATGAAATTCAGCAGGTAGGATGTGTCAGGGAGCTCTGAGAAACACAGGGCCATATGCACAGACAGCTGTTCATCACTCATGAGCGTAAATGGCTTGACTCTGGTCACTGCCCTGAATAGCAGGTAAGAGCTCTATGGGCGGCCATAATCCCAGCTAGAGAAGACAGCACCAGGAATAAGGCAAGACTCAGCAGAGGGGATGCAGCTGTCAGTCTGAAACGTCTCTCGTATGTTTGGATACTTGGTTCCCGGATAATGGCAGTGTTTTGAGGGGTTGTGAAATTTTTGGGACTTGTGGACTAGTTAGCAGAAGTAGGCTGTGTGTGTGTGTGTGTGTGTGTGTGTGTGTGTGTGTGTGTGTGTGTGTTTGTGCATGTGCACATGTGCATGGGAGTGTGGGGGAAGTTGGAGGTGGCGTCTGCTCTCTGCTTCCTGATCTACTAAGATGTGAGGAGCTCTGCCGCATGCTCCCACCGCCATGGACTGGTCCACTCTCACTGCTATGATGGACTACCACTCTTGAACTGTGAGCTAAAACCAACTCCCACCCTTTAAGCTGTTTCTGTCAGGTTTCCTGTCACGGTGACAGGAAAAGTAACTGATACAAAGAGGAGCCAGGGCACCGCGCTGACCAGGCCTGCAGAGGGACAGTGACACCAAGCAGGTGCAGATCGGTGACTCACTTTTATTGTTGTCTCAGTCACTGCTCTATTGCTGTGGAGAGACACCGTGATCAGGGCAACTTATGAAAGAACCAACACATTTGCCCGATCCTAAGATGTGCCCCAGATATTGGGGAGAAAGAGTTGGTTCCAGCTACATTTCAAAATAAAATGGGTCCGAGAAAGAAACTGTTTCTGAGCTGAGAGTGCCTGCTTCCCAGGAGCCCTACTTACTGGGCTCCATCATGTATGAAGTTTGTTGCACACGTGGCCTTCTGCAAGCCCTGTCGTTCAAAGTCCAAGACACAGGCCTAGATTTGTCCACAGTCTTGTTTACCTGCTCCTTGGTGTGTCTCAGCCTGATTCCAAACGGACAGGATGGGGTAACTAAAACCACTGTCCTATCACCTTTATTGCTCAGTGGCTCGACTTCGGCCTCTGCCTACTGTCCCTGATACTGACCTCTCTGGATGTCACTAGACATCTTTTGGGGTCACCCATCCACATCAAGCAGATAAGCCCAGTGGGGTCTCAGCCACTTGTATCCCAACAACCATGACATCCCTTCCCCAAAGTCCCTGGGCCTGCAAACCCAGCTCTTCTTGGCCTCCAGCCACAGCCTTCTGTTTCCTGTGTTATATCTGGGCTTTGAGTTTTCTGCTCATTTTCTTGAAGTGTTCTTTTCTTGGGTCTCTGCAGGGCCTGCTCCCTACTCTTCCAGCGCTCCACATGTTCTGGACCACCAGCCCTCACTGACTGGGACACCACCCCTAAACCTTTCAGACGCTTCCTAGGTGCTCAACAGATATGTGGGTGTCTATGTCTTGGTGACCAGAAGAGGAAGTGAGCACTACACTGGCGACCTCCTTAGAGCCTAGAATATGCCTTAGAGTGGATATGCTTAAAGCCCCATCCAGTTTCCACACTATTATCTGTAAATTATGTAACCATCTGAACACGAGTTGAGAACAGCAGAGTTAAGAGTCTCCAATTGCTTACAAGAAGGGCTGGTGCACAGGGCAGTGCCTTGGGAACAGTCTGTCTCTCCATAGGTCTCTTTGGTTGGGTACAGAGTGTCCTCTAGCCTCAGCAGACAGATGTGATTTCATTAAGCTGAAGAAGAGCCGTGTTACCAGGCCCATTCCTTGGATGCAAACCTAGTGTTTTCCAATAAGGGAAGAGCTGGAGGTTCCTCTCGTCCTCCCAGGAAGAAGACTGCTGTGCCAGAGGGTGGACAGCTGAGTGAGGCAGGCAGGATGGGTCCATTTACCAGGTACCCAGTCTACTCTGTGGCCTGGGGTGGAGACAGTCAGGGCGAGGGGGAACATCACACTCTCTCCCTGGCTGGCTGGCTGGCACCAGGATCATGACTCAGGGCTTCAGGATTTGAGCAATGCTGAGCAGAGTGGAGGGCAGGGTGAGTGTGGCCCGACAGACACCAACCAGCTCCTCTCTCAGAAGCAGGTGGTGTAGGTGCCTCTGGGCAATCATAAAGTCGGAAGGCCTCTCTTAGGATGGGAATGTTCAGAAGCCCCTGTCCATTTCCACATCTCGCCACTTCAAATACTCTGGAGCAGACCCCTGCCGGCAGAGGCTGTCCCTGCCTAGGCATGAAGAGTATTCCTACAGCAGGCGCACGGGTCCACGTCAGTGTGATGGTGACAAGAAGCCTGGGTTTCCTCTAGCGCAATGGGGGGCCCCACGGGGTTTAAACAAGCCCTGATACAATCCCTCACAGTGATGGAGTTATGTGGTGGCCCTGGTCGCACTGTGCAAGAAGAAACGAGAATTTGGGCCGGCTGAGAAGAAATGGGAGGTGTTAGCTGCCATGGAGTTGCCATGCTAGGATGGAAGAACTGGGAGGAGCCGTTTGGACGATCTCTAGGGAGTTACCTGCTGCCTGAGAAAACTGGAGCGGATTGGGAGAAGCAGTTCGGGCTGGGGGTGGGGACTAAGGGGAGGTGTATGTTTGCTGGCCTTCCCCCAGCCCTTAGTCTATTTAGGAAGTACCGCAGCAGGCTCGAAAGTCCACCTGTTAGATCCTTTTCTCCATCTATGTCTGCTAAGGGATCGAATTGGAAGGTATTTTCAAAGCATTTGTTCTGTAAATAGACGCCCAGACCGTTGTCGTCTGTCACTGGATCTGCCCACCTTTCTCAAAGATTTGATTTTCAAAAGACGTAGGTAACAAGATGGCCTTCAGCACCCTATAGTTTGGGCTGTTTTCGTGATTTTTTTTTTTTTTTTGAACAGCTAAGTGGTATCACTTGCCACGCCTGCCTGACAGTCCCAGCAACAGCCAGCCTCCCACTCAGATCACCTTCCCCGGCTAGGGCGCTGTCCAGCTCCTGGTCCTGGGTCTGCAGCCCCAGCTCCAGCCGTACTCAGGCCGGGTGCGCCCCTCTCGCTGTCCGCTTGAGGCCGCGGCAACCAGCCCGGTAGCGCCCCACGCGGATGGGCTGCTCCACCAAGCGGGCTCCGGCCCGGGTCACCGCGCCAAGGAGTGGCAGAGGCGCAGTCCCGGGTACGCGCAGGGGAGGGGAGGGGAGGCCCGGGGCGGGAACAGCTGGGGGCGTGTCCAGGAAGGGGATCCAGCCTGGGAGGGGCGCGAGTGGTGGGGGCCGAGCGCGGGGCCGGCGGGCAGCGCGGCCCCTGAGCCGCCCG